CACCCAGTAAGATTTTGCTGCACTATATATCACATTTAACTCAATAAATTCAAACTTACCTGATTTTGTCAGGCTGCATGAAATCCAAAGTCACGTGTTTGAAAGAGGTAGCATCTTTCTGTGCCCCTTCCTCACTGCCAGTAGACTGGAGCATGGAGATAGAGAGGAAAAAATTAAGGAAAAGTTGCTCAATCATCATTAAAACCAAAGTTTTTTTGTACTGTAAGATAAAAATCAATTTGTGAGGCATCGTGGGGAAATCAGGCGCTCGTCAAAATGATGATGATGCATGACTTGTAATCAACTAGACATTTAAACATCAAAGAAAAAATTATTTCAAGACCAGCAAACCGCACCTGCACCCATTCCCTCCTTTAAATTGCCCTTTTCGAACATTCTGATCTGAGCCAAACAGATGACACTGAATATTGTGAAATGGTACAGGTTTAACACCCCTTTCAACACTATTAGACTATTTAAAGGCAGAACCTTGGAGTTTAATGTCCATCTAAGAAAAGACAGAGCGAAAGGGGAGATTCATGTAAAGTGCCTTTCCCAAGGATACAACTTCAGATTGCGGGTCCGGTAGCCTAACCACTAGGCCACAGACGCCATCACAGATGACACTGCGGGTAGTTGGCGGGTGCTCTTGTGTGGTTTGCTCCTTTCCTATCAAACATCTATCGTCCTTATCTATACTCCTTTTTCATGGACGTTACTCTCTTGTAACACATCTATTCTTCAGCATTTATGTGACCTAATTGCGTTTCAAGTGCGTAAAACTTTTACTAAAACTTAACAGATGACACAGACATGGCTATTCAACAAAAAACAACAAATCAGCCCAATAAACCTGAGGTTGAAAAGTACAATTACTACTTCTGGATAAGTCTTTATTCTAGACCTGGATGTAAGGCACAGCATAATTGCCTGAAAATTATGAATGTATCGCTGAAGCATTTTCATCACAATTAAAAGCCCACAACCCTGTCTCCCGGCACATTTTCTTTGAATTATATCAATATAACAAACAACATTAACATTTTTAAAAATCTTACTTTCATCCCCATCAATACCTAAACCCCCATCTCCTGGCACATTTTCCTTGAATTCAGTCATGATGAAATCAGTCTAGATGTAGATTCTAGACATTCTGATGAATATTAATCTATCTTCATAGATCTAAAATGTTTCAACACTGCAGAAACCGGAACTACACCCACATGCAATTAGAAATTCACAATCAAATTTAGATTTAGTCCACACTTGATTCACAGAGATCATGCTAAGCTTAAGGTTCGTTTATAAACAATAGTCCAAGCACACCGCTGCACACAGCACACAGCCTGTGCCGAGAAGTCGTCGTTACAATTCACTTTCACATTTTCACAAATCGGAAATTGGGAAGAATTCAGGTCCGGCCATAAGTCTGCAACTGCACCCAATTTGAGTACTTTATTAGCCTTTAGCAGGAAAATTTCCTCATTTTGTGATTGCCGGAGATCAGGCAATTGCCAGAAAACATCCAGGTCTATTATTCGCCTGTGCAAAACTGTTTGACAAAAAAATGTTTTGTCAGTTAAATGTCACATACCTCGGGTGCTGAAAAGAGAGACAGTCTCGACTTTGTATTCTCGCTGACCGATGGAGAGAACGGCTTCTTGGTACTGCTGCTGGCAGCTGGAGTCGCAGGCTGTTTCCTTTTTCTTGACTGGGAAAAGAAAAAGGTTTTGAATTATTTTTTTACTCTTTCAATGCTGAGAGCTCCAGCCGTGAACTTACCTCACATACTCGGCAGTTTTGTATAAATGGCAACATGAAATTAGGTCTACCCAGGAAAATCAATTACAACTAGCGGGCTCAATGGCTGTTCGAGCAGAAAAAATGTCTCCTCGACCTTTCCCATAATACATCATTTAATCAAGTTTAGTAAAATAACTTGGTATTGATTAGATAGAGTAATTCTTTCTATAAATATAGCGAGGCAGAATGTGAGAATACTCGTCGTTAATATGTGGACGGGGCCCAGGTTTCGCGAGTATTCTCGCCCGTCGCACTGAATTCGTTAATAGACAAAAGGGTCATTTTGAAGGCAGAGAGCTCTGCTCGATGGAAAGAAGAAAAGTCTGTATTTGGATAGTACAAGTAAAGAGAAACAATTCCATCCACAGTGACGGTCATTTATGGCAGGGATAAAGAAAAACAGATTGACAGAGCCAACAGGGGGAAAGAAAAGAAGTAGAGAAGTAGTTCCTTCAAGGAGCTGACAGACAGATAGAGACAGACAGGCAGACACAGAGAGTGAGAAAGAGAGAGAGTGTAAAAAATCACTATATTAGTCAACAGTAGGAAAAAATCTACTAACATTTACATTTGGCGCTCATAAGACCTTATGCAGTTGCGAGCGCCGTAAAGCCTCCCCTAAAACTAAAACTAACATTTATATGCTCATCGTTACAGAAAAATGCTCGGAAGAAGGAAGTGGAAAGTCCATCTGGTTCACTTGAAATGTAAACTAAAGACTACAAATAGAAAAGAGCTCACCTCTTTGACTGGGGAGTCTGGCTCTGACTCTGGTTCAATATCAGACACATCTTCTTCATCCACACCGCTGCTCGCACTTTCGTCCTCATCATCAGATGACTCAGGTTTGAAGTCATCCTCTGAGGAAAAGAATTATGGCTGATTTGAAATATTTTCCAGCAGAAAGTAAATAGGGAAATCAGAAAGAGAAAATTTTTGTTTTAGTAAGCATTTTACGGAACTTGCAACACAATAAGGTCATAGGGTCCCAATTTGAGGTCCAACCACTGTTCTAGCAGCAATTTCCAGACCTATTTTTGTTGTTTACTAAAAATTAGATGAAAGAAAGAAATCGCATTCGTTTTTCTTGTAAGACTTCATTATGCCCATAATACGAGTGCAAAGTCGTGACTTCATGTCATTTAGTATTGTCACAGAGATTGCTTTAAATACATATTAAAATAACAGGTACGCTGGGTACATTAAAGACAAATGTGGCAGGCAGCCAGTGAGTTTAACTGTGAAAGATACTACATGCACTACGACACACCAGCAATTATCTGGTACTATAAAAATCTCAACACTATGAAGCCAATGTGTTGGGGAGGGGGGGGGTTATACAAGGGACCATCCGGGCAGGTTCCACCGTACTAGTGTGGATCGTTCGCTGGTCCAAGAATAAAACGAGTCAATGTAATCAACAATAGTTCATTCATATAATTATGAGCTTCAATACTATGCTAAAGCACAATTAAAAAGTTCTATCTACTCAGTACCTTGTTCGGAGGGATTTGACGTTAAAAAATTTAAGTTTCAAGACATGTCAAACTTTTTCAAATGCAATTTTTTAAATATCTTTCTAACAATTCCTAATAATCTTATGATTATAATTGAGCAGATAGAACATTTGGTTTCTGACCTCATGGTCTTGGTAACTCAAAACGGGCAAAAATGTCAGATAGAACTTTGTAACTCTAAGATCGGGACTAGTTGAGTACAAAAAAAAAAAAAAAAAAAAAAAAAAAACATTTTCAAAACCTGAATCTTCCTCTGCACTATCAGATTTGAGAAGCCTCCTGCGTTTGTTCAACACAGCGGCTTCTTTTGCAGCTTTTCTCTTCGACTTTGTTGACTTCTTCGGCGAAGCACTCGCAGACTTTTGGGGACTCTCCTGACCAGGCGTAAGAAACACAAAGACAAAACTTCAGTTACAATAAGTCGTGTGTATTAACACTGGATAGAATTTTTAAAAACCCCATTTATCTATCAAAGGAGGAAATCCATTACTCACACTTTTAGTTTAGTTTTAGTAAGAGTTTTACGGCACTTGCAACACAATAAGGTTATATAAGTGCCAAAGATTAGAGGTGTTACAACAGAGTACCATACACAAAATTGAAGGAGGGGAGAAAAGGACAACAGAAGTTTGATAAGAAAAAAGGAACAAACCACACCAGAGCACCCGCCAACCACCTGCTTTACTTATACCTTTACCATTCTATGCAATATAAATCATATGATTCTTTTTAACTGAACCAACAATAAAATTACATTGTACAAGCACACATACACCCAACAGTGATGTTCTAACATGGTAATAATAATAACAGTAATAAAAAAGAATTTGTGTAGTGCATATCTATATCCCCACTCAACAGCAAGTCTCCATGCGCTTTACAATCTATATTATTATATTCTATCAGACCCTGAAACACTCAGAAACAATCTCAGCTTCTCAGGAAGCATACAGTGCAAGTAGCAGATAAAGCATTCAAACACTATAACAAACTGACAAGATATTTCGCTTTCTACATTTGGGAATCCATTCCTACCTGGGTGAAGTGAGGAAAATTCAAGTACAGTTCCTTATCGAAGGACACAATGTCAGGCCCCTGACAGGATAAAATCTCGAGACCTTTTGATTGTGGGCCCAACATCCTAACAACTAGACCATCAATGCCAACTGGTCTATTCTAGACAGTGCATATCAATGTCCATTAGGTCCTTGCATGACTTTTATTTTCTGCATTTCTAAGAATTGAGAAAACAACTGCAACAAAAGCGCATAACCAGAATTTCCTCCTTTTATATTTCTCTTTTATCTAAGAATAAGAGCACAAAAGACCGACCCACATTTTAGAAGTGAAGAAAAACAAAATTGATACACAACTAATTAAATATCATGGTATTGGCTTCACAAGACAACATATGGTACCTTTTTCCCTGCTTTTGGCTTGTCACAGTTTTCTTTCATATCAGATTCGCCTTCTGACATTTCATCATCAAAAATGGTAGCTGTGAAAGGAAAGACACACGATACGACATACTACAGATGTTACTACACTGCCAAATCATTAAGTGAAAAGATCACATGGCTGAAACGGTTATTAATAGTACATTTATCTTCAAAGGTCTTATTTTTTTAATAAGTGTTTTACAGTGCTTGCAACACAATAAGGTCGTAAAAGTGCCGAAGATTAGAGGTGTTACAAGAGAGTAACAAACACAAAAAAGAAGGAGGGGAGGTAAGGATGATAGTAGTTTGATAGGAAAGAAGGAGCAAACCACACCAGAGCACCGGCTAACCACCCACCAAAGGTCTTTAAACACACTCAGATATCATTCTTTATACCAAAAAAAACCAACCTCCCCCCCCCCCCCCCCAAGTTGATCAGAATCTTCAAACATGAAACAAAAACTGCTAAGATCATGGAGGAAACTGTAACAGATATGATTAAACTTTACTGTTGTTCTTTTAATTAAAGAAACAGTGAAGAACCCCTATTACAGATCTCCAGATGGCGCTTATATGACCTTACGCAGTTGTGAGCGCCGCAAAAATCTCTACGAAAACTTTAAAAAAGATCTCTAGTGACTTACGATCAAAGTCCATCTTTTCAACAACCTCTTCCTCATCCTCGTCTTCCTCCTCTTCCTCACTTGAGGGTTGTAACTCCACAACAAGCTTCAGCCGTTCTTCCACGGTCGTCTCTAGGGCTTTGTCTGCATCTTTTGCACCTTGACGGATTTTGTTGTTCAGACTGTAGTACTGACCTCCTTTTTGAAATGACTCATCGCTGGATCCTTTGAAAGGCTTGATATTTCTACAGGCAAAAAGGTGAAAGGCGTTGAGTGTTTTAAGACAAAATGAAAGGAATACCATTACAAGACAATTGCATTCATTCAAAATGCGAACTAAGAGATCTACTTCCTTCAGAACAGCTCAAATTTACTTACCTTTACCTGAATAGTTTAGGAAACAAAGAACAATTTTCATCTAATACAGACGGGAATGGATAATTCAAGCACATTGTGGATTGACAAAAGTGTTCAACATATCCATTATTTCGACAAATTGAAGAAATATCGGTCAAGAAATAGCAAATTGTACCAGCTTATTTGTCCATGATTTTAAATTTCCCATGTCTGTGATATTTGTGCCAAACGGAATTTCAGCAGTCCTACGCTGTCGCAGTTTTTTACGGAGGGAGTTGACAATGATGGAGGAACAAGTTCGAAACTGGCAGAAAGTACGGATTTCCGTAAAAATACGGAAAAGTGGAAGCACAGTATCAAGGCACCCCGAAAATAGCGGGTCACAAGAGTAACAAACATACAAAAGAAGCAAAGGAAAAATGACGATAGTAAGGATTAGGAAATAAAAAGCAGCAGTTCCCTGTTGCAGTTCAGGCACGGTTATGAGCATGACACTGATGAATCAGTCAATTTACAATTTTACTGTGCATAAGAACGGGTTAATGTCCCCCCTTCGGAAACGGCCTAAAGACACTTCAGTCAGTATCACTGCCCCAGGGGGTAACAGAACCGAGGAGACCGGACAGATGAGTGAGACATAAAGAGAGAGAAAGAAAGCAGATAAAAAACAACTTTATCAAAATAACCTGCCACTTCAAGCTGCACAAAAATTTCTAAATCATAAATGAAAAGATTATTGTGATTCGGCTCGCAGATAGTTTTGACTCCTGACGCCAATAATTTGTGACCGCTTCATGACCTCACAGGTGGTCTCACAAAAAAGTTAATAAAGAAATATCTAAATTTTATAAAACCCTATGTGTGGCATATATATAAAAAAATGTTCAAAATAAAAACACACTATTCCATGACACAAGAAAAAAATGGTTGAAATGTAAGTGGTAAGAAAAAAAAAAAAAGAGGACAGTGATGTGAAGAAAAGGGAACAATAGATAAGAGCCGCTCTGAGTGGCCCTGCGACAAAACACAGGAGACAGTCAGCTGCTGTGAGCGGCGCTGCTGACTGAATCAGTTCAACAAATTTCAAAGAATCAAAACTAGGGTTTTCAAGACAATTGTCACTATAAACACTTAGAAATAAATTATATTACAAAAGTTAGCAACAACAAAGAAACGAAACATAACAGCATGCCATGTGCTGCATTGTAGTCAAACCAGGCACACATCAAAATTATCAAATCAAAGAAACAGGCATTTTTCAGACTCTTGGGCAATTTTTATACACTTTTTTTGTCTCAACACCTGTAATATCCATTTAGAAATGCATTTCTGTGTGAATTTTACTGAAAAACTTTGCCTTTCTGTGTGAATTTTACTGAAAAACGTTGATCAAAAGAACACAAAAGGAGATTTGAAGTGTCCAACACACTACGGCTTTGTAAGTCACCAAACTTTGGCGGCCATTTTCTAGCTAATTTTGCCTGATACCAGGTAACCGCCAACTCCCTAAACCACAAATATCTCGGCTTCTATTCAGTACAGAAGGGCATTTTAAAAAATCAAATACAAGATAAATAAACTTTTGAAATTATACCATTAACTCCATATATGCCCAAAAATTGACCAGCCAGCGCCTAATTCCACCACATCGTGACACATATGAGCAGCATCGGTATGCCTGGGTACCTGGCTTTAATCCAAGCTCTGCAGGGCGGTTCATCAAAGAATTGGACGTGGACTTCTGGAACTTTCCCTCCTTTCACATGTTTGCCTGTCGTTGGATGATCGCACACAAGGCTTGGCCACCACGGGAAGCCCTCTAGCTTGGCCCACACAACATCTCCTCGAGCAGAGTCTGAAAAAAATTGTTTGCTTAATCCCCAATAATTTTGCATGGGAAGCACTTTTGCAGCAAGCGACCATGCCACCCTAACAAACTAAACCTAGCATCAAGGTTTTTTGCTATTTCCCCCCCCCCCCCAAAAGTTGCCACAAAAAATGGCAAAAGTTGCCAATAATTTTCAAGCTTTCACTCTCTGTGACGACTTTTGTAGCGATACACGTTGATAGAGGCATTACTCCAAAGAACTGGAATTTCTTGTGCTGTGTCTTAATCATCCAGAACATCATTTGCAGCCACATAAACATGAAAAATAAAGGTTTCACAACAGATTGAAATCAAAATTAGAACAGCACATAAACAACCACAAAAATTAACAAATAAGGGCCTGTGCCTACCTATCCGAAGATTGGTTGCTTTAACCCAGGCCCTTAACATGAGTAATTCAAGAAAAAGTATAGGATATTATACATAAATTAAGAAATTACACACAAAGGGCCTGCCAGTGTCAGTATTCAGTTTTTGTGGCGATACGCTCAAACAAAATACATTTATATTTCTAAAAACGCAGGAAAAACATCAAACTAAATGTTTGCATGTGTGTGTGATCATTACAGTTGAACCTGCCATGACGGCCACCTGTGCAAACAGCCACTTTCCATTCCTCCCCTTGCGTTTTTTCTATATAATTTTAACTGAGTAAAACGGGCACCTGTCCAACGCGGACGCGGTCACCATATTTTAACACACAACCCTTATCACACCAAACAATAACACCTGTCTCAGACGGCCACCTTAGTGACTCCATTACATTTTGTCATAAGTAGTGCATTGGTCCCTGGCGTTGTCGGCAAGCCGTCATAATCCATTCACCTGTTTGTTGTTAAGTGGTCCCTCCGACCGATCATCTTGCGTAGGCCCCTCCCATTGTTGACAAATAGGTAACAAAATTTAAGCTGCTGGTGAGGTAAGCGTGTGATCCTTCATAACCCAAAACTCATACACAAATCGTTGGATGGATTTCCCCGACATGTACACCAACTGCCCTTATTCTATTTTCAAGTAATCAATTTAACAACCTCCCTTTTAAAACTAATTTTTTTCCTTTGTTTTAATATACGGTGTCATGTTTCTGCTCTCATGGCCTAGAGGTTAAGGTGTTCACCTCTCATTCAAAGGTCCTGGGTTCGAATCTGGGTAGCGACAGAAAATTTTTCTTCTCCGTAAATTGTCTCCTTTCATCTCCTTCCTTGCTCCCCAGCAATGTTCGATAGTCTGCCTTCGTCTCCACTTTCTGCCTCCAGCCCCTCACCTCCTTTGGGCTCCTGACTCTTCTGCAGCCTTTCTACTGCTATTCCTTGGCTCCATCTTACGTTCATTAGCTGACGCAGTTTGAAAGCAATTAATAATTTCATTAGCTGACTGGGTTTGAAAATGATTCATTAGCTGACTCGTTCGAAAATGAATAAAATTGAACTCGCTTCTTATTCCTTTTGATGTCATAACCGTTTTGGCACACTTCTGCTTCTCGCCACAGATAAAACATGTTTCCGACAAACAAAACTGCCGTTACGTTTACACATCTGTTGGCGAAAGTATGAATTATTTATTTGTTCTAGTGATTCTTACCACCAACTTTATTGGATACTTTTGTTTGAAGATTTAAGGACCTACTAAAAATTTGAAGGTAAAATATGAAAAGTTTGGGCGCCGTTCCTTTGTCACATGATGTATATTAATGTCATTTCCAAACATACCTAAAACTAGTTGACAAAGCTAGATTATCTATTTTACGAAAAGATGGGTGGGGTGGGAAGAGAGAGAGAGAGAGCTTATTTATATAAATATATATATATATATATTCGAACGCTGTTTTTCTGAGGTCAACGATCTAAAAAACCCCCACCAAAACAATGGAATGTTAAAATGGCTTTGATGGAGTGTTTTTTAGGGGAAAAGGTGTGTGTGTGTGTGTGTGTGTGTGTGTGTGAGAGTGAGTGTGTGTGTGTGTGTGTAGCAATGACCACGAAAATCCTTTTTTTGCCAGAAAGTGTTTGCAACTAGGTGCATTTTGTAGCTTTATCTTCACCGAGCATGGAACTTTTTGAATTTTTGAAATCCATCAATAAACAAAAAAGTTACGGATTTTTTAATCAATTAATTTCTGGTACACTTTTATATAATGAAAAACCCCCAAAATATGGGACGTTCTTTGGTGAGTTTTGAGACAATATTCGTCATAACTCGCTCATTTCTCGGAGTATTTAAAAGAAACTTGGCAACCCAGTACATTTTCTAGTGCAGAATCTAGTCCTGCTTTCAGATTTTTCATAGCTATCCTATTTTTTGAGTTATGAAGACGTTTATAGGTAAAAATGTGGCAGTTTTCGGTGCGTTTTGAGACAATATTTGTCATAGCTCGCCTATTTCTTGGAATATGTAAATGAAACTTGGCAGGCTAGTACATTTTTTAATGCAGAACCTAGTCATGCAGTCAGATTTTTAATATCTGTCATACTTTTTGAGTTGTAAAGACATTAGCAGGTAAAAAAGTGGCGTTCTTTACAGATTTACTAAGATTATCAGTCAATGTTCTCCCAAAGTCATGATATTTGAATGAAACTTGGCAACATAAAAGGTTCCTCCTTGCCAAGCAATGCTCTGGATCAATTTGTCACAAAAATGTAAGTAGAGAGCTGGATTTATTAGACTAATAAATCCAGTTCTGTACTAGTAAAAGCATGCTTACTTTGTTATAGAAAATAAGATCGTCTCTGTGTATATCCATTGTTGGAAAGTGCCCTATTGTGTGGTAGATTAAGATGCGTTCAGATAATATAGTTTACAAGTCATGGGAATATTTCGCATGTGTAGGCTACAACTCATACAATAAATGTAACATATTTACCCCCCCCTTCTCTCTCTCTCACTCTCTCTCTCTCTCTCACGCGCGCACAAACACACACACACACATGCACGCGCGCGCACTCACGCACGCGCGCGTGAACGATAACAATGTATAAACGGGACTATCTTCCCAGACTGGA